AGACTGCTGTTATGTAATAAATTATTCTCTGATGTTTTCTATTGAGGTAAGCATAGGACAGCAGCTATGTTCGTAAATGCTCTTAGAACTCTAGATTCTACAAGTATATTAATTTTTTTATTCCATAAATACTCCATGAATGTCTACTACATGTCGGACACTGTTCTGGATCCTGAAAATACAACAGTGGATGAAACAGCATAATCTGGTCTTCTTGTTTACACGCTAGAAGCAAAAGTCTTGCTGAGATTAGGTTAGAGAAATACTATTCTCAAATAAATGTATTAAAAGGGACTCTGACTTTGTTTCAGGTGAGATGCTAAAAGGATGAGAGACCAAGCCTCCCTGCCAAACATTCCTTCCATTCCTCAGTGATTATCATAACAAAAAGCATATGACAAAGGACATTTGTAATCTGTGACTTTCTATCCTGTGGCAGATATAAAAGAATTAATGTTGGAGAAGCCAAGAGAGTTGCACAGGCTAGAGAATTCTAAGCCTAGTTAGAGAGGCTTCAAGGAGACGGTCTATGGGCTTGGGGACATGGTAGACTGATAAGTGACTCTGGCCTGAAAAGCCCAAGGGCAAGGAGAGAGGTCAGTTCATGTGGCTGTGAGAGCACAGACCAGGGGCTTGCTGAGGGAAGTAACTGCACATGCCCAAAGCAGGTTAAACACATAGTACGTGAGACCTGAGTGATCAGAAAAATGTGTGCCATCCTTCCCTACAGTCCCTCTATAATTAAAAAAGCAAAAATAATAAACGAAACTGTGTTGAATATCAGTCGTGTTTCTTGGCACTAAAATGCAGGAAAGAGGAAAATAAATCATCACAATGCTGCTTCCAGACACTAGCTGGAAAGATGCCTGTGGGCTTCCCTTTCCAGCTGGTCCTTGTCCTTTCCTCCCCCCCTCCACATTATGAGCAGCTCAAGCAGATATTTGCACACTTATTAACGCTTTGTTTGTGCACTAACCTTGTAACATTTTGCTAATTTAGAATTTTTTTTTTTTTTAAGTATTTCACCTTCCACCATCTTGGTATGTCAGTCCTAGGCACACCTGATGATAAACTGATGCACCTGGGTATAAACCAACAGCTATCTCTGACATTGCTACATATTCAGGGTTGGTAGTTTGGGAAAAAGGAGAAGTCAAGGGACCAGCAGATGGCATAATGGTTATGTTGCTGGACTCCCATGTAGTTGACTGCAGTTCAAGTCCCAGACCTGGTGGCTCAAACTCATGCTGGGTGCATGTGTGTGCGTGCCCAAAGTCCTGAGAGGAGAATGGAGGAGAATGGATTGCAGCATGTCCACCTCACCTGGGGAGTGATTTCTCCCTCTCTGTCTCTCTGGTGAGTACACGTGCCTTATAGCAAAAATCTCTCTCTTTTTTTCTCATAATTTATTTTTTATTTTTCATTAATTTATTTATTTTACATTTTTCCACAAACATTTACTTCACATATCAAAAAATTTTAGCTCATTATCCATAGTTCTTGACAGTTAATAAACAACTTTCAAAATTTCAAAATACTGAATTTTAAAGATAATGTTCAAAATATGTCTTATAATTTTGTATAATTTTGTTTGTGACTCTATAATAACAGAGACAGTCCGGTTTTAAATATTTTTGAGAAAATATTTACATTGAAAGGCAAATGCCCAACACACAAGTCATACATAACCCTTCTCAATTCAGCCCTGCCTACCAAGTATTCTGTGATACACCATCTGCTAGCAAAGGTCAGAATCTTTTTCTTCCTTCAAAGTCTTTCTCAAGATAATCCTCTGGTGTGGTTGCTCTTTTGCAATCTCTTCTGATTACAATGCTGGGCTGGAAAAGTCCAGGTTATTTTATGTTATAAATTCTTTCATCCATCTTCTCTAATCCTCTCTGCCAGGCAGAACTATTTATGGTGCCAGGCCATCTTTCTAAGAGTCTGTTGGCTTACTTGAGAGCCACCTTAGTTCCATAGTTTTTGGACTAATCTTCAGATATGACATTCCAGTCAATGCACTGCCCAATAATGAGTATTTCCAATTTCTGATTCAATGCAACGAGCATTGAGCATTATTGAACTTATGCAAAAACCCTTCTGCCACAAAATAAAAAGAAACCCAAATATTTTCCAATTACAGAGGGGTCAGGAAGTAAGAAAAGCTTATGTTTCCATTAAAGAAACAAACGAGAAAAGTATTTTAATAAATTGCTGAACCTACCAACAACTCAAAAGAAAGGAAAATGCTTAAATTGGGAAAACAAAGCATAGTTAAAAAAAAATCAGTGATGTTTCAATCAAAAAGTCATGAAATTCTATTTCACCAGTTCAGTCTTACATTCAAACTCTCTTTTGTTGAATATGTAGTGTTACTGTGGTCCAATCTTCCCATTTAAATTCTGGAAGTTAACATTCAACATTATCATTGATATTTCTTGTTCATAGCATTAGATTGGTAAATTTTTTGGTTGCCTTTTGTTCTTTTATTTGTGTATGTGTCTTTAGTTTTCCTGGTAGAGCACTCCTTTCAGAACTTGAAACGTGGGTCTGCTATTGGCAAATTCTTTCAGGTCTTATTTATCTGAGAATGTCTTTAGCCTTTCATTAAGCCAGGTACACTCTGTATATCCTGATCAATATATTCTGAATTCCTACACTCTATGGCAAAAATGGAAAGATCCAAACATATGATAGTATGGAGGATAAGTATCAATACTGGAGTCTATAAGAGAGGGGAGTAGATAGTAGAGGGTGTGTGAGAGGGGCAAAGAAAAAGATCTTAACAGATAGAAGAATATAAAAGTCTCTGTTAAAAATAATGTATAGGGTAATAGTCTTGATTAGACTCACAAATACCGCATAGAAACTTTGAAAAACCATATTGGGCCCTATAGAGATATACAACAAAAGAACATAAATAAAGAATTTAAAAAGTGATACCAACAGAAATGACTATTTTTATAGAATTCCTGAATTTTCAATCTGTGACTTCCTATCTTGTGCAAAACAATCATCTTCGTACAGAGAAAAAAAAAATTATTAAAAACAAATTTCAGAAATAAAAATAGAGAGAGATACACTTTCTTTCTTTGAAAAGTGAGCTCCAACCCATGGAATAGGAGTTGCCTCAATTTTATAATCTTATTTCTGAGAACAAAAATTACTGTGTTTAGGTCAAACTTTTTCTTTTTTCTTTTTTTTTTTTTTTTTTGAGAGAGGTTTTTGCTATAGGGCGCGTGCGCTCGCCAGACAGACAGACAGAAAGCGAGAAATCACCCCCCGGGGGGATGGTCACGCCACAATCCCTTCTCCTCCATTCTCCTCTCGGGATCTTGGGCACGCACACACACATGCCCGGCGTGAGTTTTAAGCCACCGGGTCTGGGACGCGAACCGCGGTCAACTATGTGGGAGTCCAGCAACATTACGCTAACTGCTGGTTCCCATGTTTAGGTCAAACTTTTTAGGAATGAAGATGTCATCAGTGAGATCCCCTAAACCATGTCATTTTTATTTGAATCTAAGAATTTGCATGAACTCACATTTCTCTAGCCTTTCTTAATTCCGTGCATTAAGAATTAAAATGACTTAGATGAATTAGTATCTAAGCTCATTTTAAGACAGGAAAATCAACATTACTTCTTCGGTTTTAAGTACTAGAAAGAATGATTGAACTGTTTCATAAATGTAATAATAAATAGGGAGAATGGGAAAGATTAGGTCATTATTTGCTGTGCTCTATATCCTGTGGTCTTTACTTCTAAGGAGTCCATCATTAATACCTTAAATCACTACCAGCGACCTTTCCCACGCCTCTGTCACTCCGTAGGTTGGATCAAATACAACTTCCTTTTCCTTTCATGTAAACATAGTGTCATTGCACTCACCTAAAATATTTGGCACACTCCTTATTTCTTATAATGGTAGTGTTTTTAAAAATAATTTGTTAAATTAACACAAGATGGTTTAATTTTTATTCTCATGGAAGAAGTTTCAGTAGATAAATTCACAAACCAGATATGTTTCCCAATTAGAGCCTCAGAAAATACAGTCACTGGGACCAGCAGTTAGCGTAATGGCTATGTCGCTGGACTCCCATGTAGTCAACTGCGATTCGTGTCCCGGACTGGGTGGCTTGAGACTCACGCCAGGCGCGTGTGCGTGCATGCCCAGGATCCTGAGAGGAGAATGGAGGAGAAGGGATTGCGGCAAGGCCATCCCCCCTGGGGGGTGATTTCTCGCTTTCTGTCTCTATGTCTCTGTCTGTCTGGCAAGCACACGCGCCCTATAGCAAAAACCTCTCCCCCAAAAAAAGAAATAAAATACAGTCACTGTTCTTTCCTGTGACTGAAATCCTTATGGAACAATAGGAGAGGGATCTAAAGCTTGAGAAAAACAGGCTTGAGAAACTATTAGGTCATCAGGAAAGTCATGAAATATTTTTCTAAGTTTTACTAAGCAAAAATGTGTCATGGCTTTCCTGATGATCCAATATACCTACAATTCAAATCACTCTTTTTTATTACATAATTTAAGTAATCTCAACTGCTGTTCAATCTAGCTTGACTAGGGCCAGGTTTCTTAACCAGTTCTCCTACAAATGGAGTAGAAATATCATGTACTGCTCTGTCTCTTCTATTTGCCACCAGCAACCCAGTAATCTCCCTAGCAAAGGAATATGCAAATGCATATGCCAATGTTGTCATACCAACTGCCTTATTTTATTGACATACTTTAGGTTACAATTACCGAGCCTAAACAGTTCAGATGTACTGCCAAGCCTAAGAGGCAATTTTTATATGGAAAGGATATCTGTGTAACAAAAACATGTATCACAAGTAAGTTCAATTCAGCCCTACTTCGTGCATCTACTCCCTGCTGGACCAGCCCTACTGCACAGATAGTATCTCCCACATTCATTAAGATAAACCCAGGGAGCCCCACAAAATACATTCATACCATGTAACTCTCTGGTACAGAATCATAAAAGTCTCTTACCTTGCATGGTCACTTTTGTTGGTTCTGAGAACAGAGGAATGAGCAAGAGGTAGATAAGGTAGACAAAGGAGAGCCCATTGTATCGGAACGCACATGCTGTGGTTGGGAAGAGAGGAGAGAGAGAACATTGTTAGTCATGGCAGATTAACGGAGCAAAGGATCAGCAACAACAGTGTGAGTGATGGTACCAGGGAACTCTGGGTCAAACTGTATTACCTCCTAAATATGAAGTGGGGTCTTCTCATACAAAATGCATATTATGGGGAACCAGCAGTTAGCGTAATGGCTATGTCGCTGGACTCCCACGTAGTCAACCATGGTTCGCGTCCTGGACCCGGTGGCTTAAAACTCATGCCGGGCGTGTGTGCATGCGTGCCCAAGATCCCGAGAGGAGAATGGAGGAGAAGGGATTGTGGCGTGACCATCCCCCCTGGGGGGTGATTTCTCACTTTCTGTCTCTATGTCTCTCTCTGTCTGTCTGGCGAGCGCACGTGCCCTATAACGAAAACCTCTCCAAAAAAAAAAAAAAAAGGAAAGAAAATGCATATTATGAAACAACAATGCATGGATTTCAAAAATCACACCAAATAAACTTGTACTCTAATTCCATTTTTCCTTGAACCTTTTGAAGTCCCCCTCATAGATAGGCCATTACAAAGTATCAAATTGAATATTCCATTTCATGAGCAGGATAAGGAGAAAATTTGAGTACATGATCCCTGTTCTTGAAATCTAATCAGAAAAATGAGTTAAACAAAACCATTAGGGACCAGCAGTTAGCGTAATGGCTATGTTGCTGGACTCCCATGTAGTTGACCGCGGTTCGCGTCCCGGACCCGATGGCTTAAAACTCACACCAGGGAATTGGGGCCATAAAAACAAAGTGCTGAAGTTGAAATAAAAGTGCTCTACAAACCATCAGATCTACAAAGATCTATTTTTAAAAATTTAAAAAACAGACAACAGTGAACAAAATAGCAGTAGTAAGCCCTTACCTAGCAATAATTACTTTGAAAGTAAATAAATTAAATTCTCCAATCAAAAGACATGGAGTGGCAGAATGGATTTTAAAAAACAAGAGATGTAACTATATGCTGCTTCTAAGACTCATTTTACATTTATGGATGCACACAGACTACAGGTAAAGGCATAGAAAAAGAATTCCATTTCAACAGAAACAAAAAGATAACAAAGTGGCTATACTTATAATAGATAAAATAGACTTTCAATCAAAAATTTTAAAATGAGAAAAGGAAGGTCATTATAGGGTGATACAGGGGTCAAAGCACTAAGAGGATATAATAGTTGTAAATATATATGCATCCAACATCAGAGACCTAAATATATGAAGCAAATACTAACAGACATGAAGAGAAAGGTAGATTATAATATAGTGATGGTAGGGAGACTTCAATACCCCACTTTCAACAATGGACAAATCATCCAGACAGAAAATTAATAAGGAAACATTAGACTTAAACTATCTTTTAGATCAAATAAATGTAACATACATATACAAAACAGCCCATCAAATGGCAGCAGAAAATACACATGCTTTTCAAGTATGTATGGATTCTCTATAACAGAACATACATGTTAAGCTACAAAACAAGTTTAATATGTGTAAGACTGAAATTACATCACATATCTTTTCCAACAATAATGATATGCAACTAGAAATCAGTAACAGAGGGAACTTTAAGAATTCATAAATACATGGAAATTAAACAACATGCTCCTGAACAACCAAGAAGGCATCATTAGGGAATTTAAGAAATATCATGAGACAAAAATAAACACATGACACACCAAAATTTAGGGGTTATAGCAAAAATAGTTATAAAAGTGAAGTTTATAACAATAAATACCTACATAAAAAGAAGAAAGATCTAGAATAAACATCTTTTTATTTTAAATAATTATTTACTTAATTTTATTTACATTATTATCTTTTTTTTCCCAATTTAAACAGAGAGAGAGAGAGAGAGCAAGAAAGTGAGAAAGGAAGCATACGGTTCCAGGACCTGAACCGTGATCACCCATGTGGGAGTCCAGTACCTTAAGCACCATGACATCTGCTGGCCCCACTAGGATAATTATCTTAAAAGTTACACCTCAAGGGACTACAAAAATAAATGAATAAAAAAGCTCTATGCCAAGAAAGGAGGAAAGTAATTAAGATTAGAGCAGAAACAAATAGAGAATAAAAAAATAAAAAAGGTCAATGGAATCCTTAGTTTTTTTTTCAAAGATAACGAAATTGACAAACTTTAGTTAGACAAAGAAAAAAGAGAGAGGACCAAAAAATAAAATAAAAAATGAAAGAGAAGGCATTACCACTGGTCACAGAAATAAAGTAGATCCTTAGGGACTTCTATGCATAATTACATGCCAACAAACTGAATGACAAAAAGAAATGGATAAATTCTGAGACACATGCAACCTACAAGATGGATTATGTAGAAATAAAAAATCTGAGCAGAGACTGAAACAGTAATAAAAAAACTTCCATCAAAGAATTGACGAGGGAGACCAGCAGTTAGCATAATGGCTATGTCGCTGGACTCCCACATAGTCGACCACGGTCCACGCCCCAGACTGGGTGGCTTACAACTTACACCGGGCGCGTGTGCGTACGTGCCCAAGATCCTGGGAGAACGGAGGAGAAGGGATTGCGACGTGACCATCCCTCCTGGGGGGTGATTTCTCACTTTTTGTCTCTCTGTTTCTCTCTGTCTGTCTGGCGAGTGCACGTGCCGTATAGCAAAAACCTCTCCAAAAAAAACACAAAGAATTGACGAAGATGATGACTTCGCTCATGAACTCTATCAAACGTCTAAAAAGAACTAATAATAATCCTTTTCAAATTCTTCCCAAAAATTGAAAAAGAAGGAATACTTCCAAGGACATTTTTTGAGGCTCTTATTTCTCTGATACCAAAAACAGACAAGCACACTGTAAAGAAAAGAAAATAACAGGCCAGTATTCCTGATGAACACAGTTAAAAATATTCTCAACAATATATGAGAAAACCCAATTCACAGCACATTAAAAGGATCATCCACCATGATCAAGGGGCTTTTCCTTGTAATAGAAAGATGGTCCAACACATTCGAATCTGTAAGTGTGATATACCACATTAACAGAAAAAAAAACATATAATCATCTCAATAGATACGGAAAAAGCTACTGACAAAATTTAACATCTTTTCATGATTAATAAAACTGAACTCTTAACTTGTTAGGCATAGGAAAAATATCTCAACACAATAAAGGCCACTAATGACAAACTCACAACTAATATCATACTCACAGTGAAAACTGTAAAATTCTTCTCTAAGATCAGGAAAACATGAGTATGTGTACTCATACCATGTCTATTCAACCTTGTACTGGAAGTCCTAGCCATAACAATTCATCAAAAGAAAAAAATAAAAATCGTCCAAATTAAAAATGAAAAAATAACATGGTTTCTATTTGCTGATGGCATGATCTGCTATAAAGATGACTCAAAATAGTCCACCAAAAATCTATTAGAAATAATAAATAAATTCAGTAAAGTTGCAGAATACAAAATTAATATACAAAAATTAGTAGCATTTCTATACATCAACACTGAACTGTCTGAAAAAAAAAAATTTTTAAATCCCATCATGATACCTACAAAAAAAAAATACTTAGGAATAAATTTACCAAGAAGGTAAAATATCTGTACACTAAATACTGATTAAAGAAACCAATAAAAGAAATTGAGGAAGACACAAATAAGTGGAAAGATAACCAATGTTCATGGATTAGAAGAATTAATAGTATTAAAATATTCATACTACCCAAAGCTATCTATACATTAAATGTAATCCCTATCAACATTCCAATGATTTACTTTTTTCACAGAAACAGAAAAAAGAAATCCTAAGATTTGTGTGGAATCTCCAAAAAGACTAAGCAATCTCAAACAAATAGAGTAAAGCTAGAGGTATTATACTACTTGACTACAAATATGCTACAAGTCTATAGTAATCAAAAGAGATGTTACTGGCCTAAAAACAGACACATAGACCAATGGAACAGAACAGAGAAATAAACCATGCATTTACGTTCAACTGATTTTCAACAAATGTTCCAAAAACATACGATAGGGGAATGAAATACCATTCAATAAATTATATTGGAAAAACTGGACATCCACATGCAGAATGAAATTAGACCCTTATCGCACATCATATATAAAAATCAACTCAAAATGTATTTAGATATAAGACCTGAAACTGCAAAACTACTTTAAGAAAAAATAAGGTTAAAGCTTCATGGCATTGGTCTGGGCAATAATTTTTTGGTATGACCTCAAAAGCACAGAAAAATAAACTGAACACAGACACATGGGATTACATCAAACTAAAAAGCTCCTGCACAACAGAGGAAAAAATAAACAGAGTGAAAATGTAACCTACAAAATGAAAGAAAATACTGGAAACAATATATCTGATAAGGGATTAATATCAAAAATATATAAGGAACTCAAACAACTCAATACCAAGGAAACAGCCCAGTTGTAGCATGGACTAAGGACCTGAATAGACATGTCTTTAAAAAAATATATAGAAATGGCCAACAGGTGTAAGAAAAAAGGCTCAACATCACCTATCATCAAAGAAATACACATTAAAACAACAAAGTCATTTCATATCTTTTAGAAAGGCTATTATCAAAAAGACAAAGATAAGATGCACTGATGAGGATTTAGAGAAAAGGGAACCTTTCTACACTGCTAATGGGAATTTATCAATAAATCAGAATGTCCATTATGGAATAAAATTTGGAGATTCCTCAAAAAATTTAAAAATAGGACTACCATATGATCCAGCAATCCCCCTCTGAGTATATATTTAAAGGAAATTAAATCAGTATGTTAAAGAAATGTCTGAACTCTCATGTTTATTGCAACATTGTCCTTGATAGCCCAGATGTGAGCCAACTGAAGTGTCCATCAATGGGTCTATAGATAAAATGTAGTGTATTTACATCATGGAATATTGTTGAGCCTTAAAAAAAGAAGGAAATTCTGTCATTTGCAAGAAATGGATGAACCTAGAGGA